TCTTATTTCTGGATTGCATGGTAAGTCATCTCGTGAACACCAGAAGCTGCTTCCATGCTTGTCAACTCGGCTTGAATAGAACCATCGGGTAGCTCGTAGTTCTTAATAGAACATTCTCCATCGGGTAGCTCCTAGTTTTTCTCAATCTTACTTGACTTTCCGGACTCAAACATTTCTTGGTTGAAATCAAACGCAGTATAGCACAATTTCTCTTTGATGTCATAAACAATTTTCGTTTTGGCCGACGTTTACGAGGCTATAGCGTATATTTACATAATTTTAAGGCAGACCGATTTTGTTTTTTTAAAGAAGAAGAAATTATTTTGTAAATTTATATTTTTTAACACTCGCAAAAACTTGTTCCTTGGTAAACCTCGAAAAACTGGCAAAAAAACTCACCCAAAGCACTTTTCAAACGTGATTTTCAAATTTGAACAATGGATTGGGTCTCCAAGAAAAATCTCCAAGAAACATTGGTTAACCTAATTTCGATCATAATTCCTGCCAACTGGACAAACTGAAGTAAACTAATTCCTCAATTCATTTCAATTCAACTAAAATAACTACGTTTTATTTAGCCTGCTTGAGATAATTGCAGTAGTTGTTCCAGTTTTGTTATTTTCCTCTTTATTTGTTCAAGGTTTGTTAATTTTCATCCGCAAGAAGTCTCAAAATAGCAGAAATGTTTTATGTGAATTCTTTCTGAGTTGTGCCGTTGTTGATTTAATTCCTATGTACAGTTTTGACGGGCCTGTATAAATGTAATTCCAAAACACTGCAAACAGCAAACAGCAAAAAAAATACAGCAACTTAGAATAAGGTTAATTTAGAAAGCTCCAAAAACAAACAGTCATAACAACAAACAGTTAACAGATCACGAAGTTTATTCAAAGTCAATAAACGACCCTGGGTGCACTTGGTCATGTTATGTCGAAAAACTATCTGTAGTTATTCTCGACGGCATATCTACCTCGACTTGCATTTATATAGCATCAGATTGTTCTCGTGTTGAAATCTCTGTGCACGTTGAACTTTGGAGTTTTGATCAGAGCACACTGCTAAAAATCGTTTTTTGCTGGCAACAAATCCCATTTTTCCCCAAGCACAGAATCTCAAAGTTTATAGCATCCAAAAAATTTTTTTCAGCACACTTTGTGGATGATAAATCAATGGACTTTCTGGTTACTGGTGTAGCTGGAGCCAAAATGAAAGTTTGTCCTATATTTTTTGCATCAAGCCAACGCATCTTTTTAATGCCAAAAAGGACGCAAACAATTGGCTAATTAAGTTAGTGATATTACTGAAAACCAAACAGAAGGGAATACTACAATTTTTTTCGAAAACCAAAAACTCTGCTACGGCAAGCTCCGCCCAATTAGCAGACATTCTCAGGGTGACATTCGCATATTCGCTAGAACCAACTCAGTTCAGCAAACTCTTGTTTTTTTGTCCATTTGAATTTCAAAAAATTGACACGGATTTTTTCTTCAGTCAACCCTAGCTATAATCACAAGTTTCAGAAATGTTAAAATTGGGTGAATTGCAATACAAATTGACAGGATATCAGATGAAATCGATCATTATCTACACAGATTATCAGGATTTTGGATGTGATTAATTAGTGGATTAGTTACACATTTGGTAATTGTCTGGAAAATTTTACTTGAATTACACTGTAGATGCACGGAGCAAAATTCAAAGGGATGTTGTTTTCTGGCAATTCAAAATAATCAAGGCGACACAAAAAACCTTCCTGCGGTTTTTCCTGCTTATTTGTTTTTTTTCCGGCCGTGAGCTCTGAGGTTTTCTATTCGGTTCTAGGTTTCTCAGCATCCTTAATCATGATTATTATGAAATCGTCACGCAGTGATTCTCCGGCTCGTTCCCTTCTGCGATTCGGCATGTGACTTGTTTCTCGAAACTGAGTAAATAACAAATAATTTGCCCCTGCTTTTTGGTCCTTGTCTTGCAATGTTCTGAGTTTTGTCGAACATACAAACTGTGTGCTGGGACACAAAAGGGTCATTGACGATGACAATCCCGTTTTTGACACTCACAGAATGTACAAAACCAATATCTGATCGTTTCTCGAAATCCTTCTGCTTATGGCACAAGCATCATTGTGTTTGCGGATTTTTGTATAAAACATGTTTTTTTTTTGTGTTCTGGGACGCTAATGATGGCGTCCCAGATAAAACTTTACGCACTAATTGCTGACTAATGATAAAACTATTGCTATTTTGAGATAGAAGTGACGGAATCAAAGATTTGTGATTTTTTATGCCCAAACAAATTCTAGATTGCATGATGAAATGCTTGAAAAACTGTAAAAAAAAAGAATACTGAACTGAGGAACGATTGAAGAGTGGAAATGAAATGTCTTTTGGTTCAAGTATTGACAAAAGACCTTTTCCTTGATGCAGGACTTCTTGCTTCAGTGATAGGGAATGTTTCACTCATAACAACTTCATAGATGCTACAGTCGCCTGGTGTGCTGCAAAACAAAAAGCGGGAAACTTATAATTTGGTAGACTCTATTTTTGATGACCAATTAGAACTGCAGTCATCAATTTAATTGGGTCTGGTGATAAATCGGGAGCATTTTTTTGATTGAAGAGTTTGGCTGCTAAGTTAAATCAATTTATCCTTACCTGTGCTCAACATTAGTTGCAGTATCGAATCATTTCATCTAGTAAAAACTTACTAAGATAAAATGTCAAACTCTGAAAAGTCATTTTCAAAGCCTTCCAGTTCTCGATCAACATTTGCAGTGCCTTAGAGTACTAGCGTTTTCAATTAGCTGCTGGTTATGTTAAAAATATCTTCAAAACAGTTCCAATATCCGCTGCGGATCATGAATGACTACATGACATGTTCTAGCCTTTGCTTTTCCTGAAACGATAGTACAATGTCACTGCAGCTTACAACACGTTGAGATAAAAATCGGTAAAATAAAACTCACCTTGTTACAAGAAAAATTGTTGGATTTCTTTAACTATCCCACCTATGGTACTGGTAGCATGTCCACCTAAAATGAAATATTGAAATAATTGAACGGTTAAGCATTTGAGAACTTTCAATCTAGTTACAAATCTCTTTGCAAAAGCGTAAAATAGTTAAAGCGATCCGATTTGTTTCTATTTGGAAAACTGTACGAACCTAGCGAGCGCCATTTTGGCCTGAAGCCTGAAAAGTTTTGTGTCAACTTTGAGCAGTTGATCATTGTGTAATTGCTCCTTTCTCGGAATTGATAAATTGCTCACTGTCAAATTTGCAATTTTCAATGTTTTTCTGTTCCAAATTTTAAAGAAAGAGACGAAATATTTGTGCTCGAGGTGTTTTTTTTCTCTAGACAACTTTCGACTTATTAACTCGCAGTTTTTGACGGAAATTAATTTTATCTTTTGAAATGCACTGTTGTCTTGAGTTTAAATTTAAAAAGTTATGCCACCTGTGATCATTTTTTGTAAAGTTACTGAGGTTTCAATAATGCCAATTAGCGCGCGATATATTTCGTGCTAATAACGCGTAAGCGGAGACTTAATCCGTTTTGTAATCTTTCCAAATTGGGTTGAGGCATGCATGCTCTTTGGTCTATTTGAAATTTTCCTATAAGCAAAATATTTTACTTTGTAGTTTATATGGCGTTTGGGGGATGATTTTCAAAAAAAGCATTCAAATTTTTTTATTTTAAATTACACCAAAGAAATTAAAACGCAGTCGGAACATTCAAGGCTTTTCCCTAATACGAGAAATCTTAATTTTATCAATCCAATACCAAATTGTATCAGTCTTGAAAAAGTAAGACAAAATAGTAAGGATTAGTTTTTTCTGAAAGCGTTTTGGTAGAACGAACTGTCTGGATGTTTTTGTTCCTCAGAAAATTTTTTAGCACAGTTAAATTGAATGAAAGTGTATAAAACATAAGGCAAAGAAAGCGCAATGGGTTGTTTAGACTATTAATTTACTTAGAAAAAAAGCTTTAAAAGTCTACAGTAAAAATCTAACGCTTTAACAACAGCACATTTTGCAAATCTAGCAGGTTCAAACAATTTTGACTACACGCTGCCGTGAATATATATCTATACGACAGCAGGGTGTAAAAAGAATTTGAGCCTGTTAGATTTGCAAAAATTACTGTTGTTACAGCATTTAGCTATTTACTATTACAATTATCTATTCTAACAAAAAATGGGTTAGCGCAAATAGGCAACTCCGCCGCATGCAGCGATTTGTTGTGTGATGCTTGTTGTCCAAAAGGTATAAACTTAAATTTTTTTCTATTGCCAAAAACTAATCGATATGGATTAAAAGGCAGTCGGTTCATTCAGGCTTTGCCCTGCTATGCGACCAGTCTTGTTCCCGTGTTGCGGCAGAACTCGAAATATTAGAAATGAATGTGACATAAACCCCTCCCCTCATCAGTAAAACCTTATCAATTTTACTTTATTTCGTTTAAACTTGTTATGCTTATTTGTGTGAGAAAAATTGAAAATTTTGATTGCTAATTTGAACATTTTATTACTGCAACAGGAGTTGTAACTCATTTTCGCGTTGCACTTACTGCAATTTCACGGCATTATTTCGGCACATGTGAACAGTCTTCCTATCCTTAATAGACCAAATGAGGAATCTCCCCCTCAAATTCAATGCAAATTAAAGAAAAGGGGTAAGAATATTAAAGTAGTCAGATTTAACTGTTAAATAGATCTCGCAAGTCTTGTATTTACTAAGGTCGAAGCTGCTTGGCTGATAAATATTACTTTCAACCCATGTTTCTACCAATAGGCAAAAAAACTTCTCGACATTTTGCTCTGATTTTTGCGAAGTCGCCAATTAGAAGAGAAATTGTCTTGTCTTGATGTCAAGTTTTCTAGTAATGTCATGCATTTATGCTTATATGTCCAATAACTAGATTGAAATAGAAAATAAATTAAAATAAATAATGAGTAAAAAAATTCTGATCGAACATTATTGTACTAAGAGTTAATTAAACTAATTCAAAATGGTTCCAAGAAGACCAGCCAAATCAAAATAAGAAACATTTTAAATGCATTTTCTATTATTGGTCCACACTCTTCGTACTCGTCTTCGGATACCCACAGTTGCTGGAAAGAAGAGAGAGAAGCCAAAATCGAACCTCCAATCCAGACACTGTAATTCCTCTCAGGAGGTGCAACCACTTTCACCCTTACTCGGTCCCCATTCAGATCTTTAAATTCTTTCTCCATTCGCTCTGCCACCGGAAAGTACAGTGTTCTTGAGGAGTTCTTTGCAGATGTCGCCCTACGTCTTATTTCTGGATTGCATGGTAAGTCATCTCGTGAACACCAGAAGCTGCTTCCATGCTTGTCAACTCGGCTTGAATAGAACCATCGGGTAGCTCGTAGTTCTTAATAGAACATTCTCCATCGGGTAGCTCGTAGTTTTTCTCATTCTTACTTGGTTTTCCGGACTCAAACATTTCTTGGTTGAAATCAAACGCAGTATAGCACAATTTCTCTTTGATGTCATAAACAATTTCCGTTTTGGCCGACGTTTACGAGGCTATAGCGTATATTTATATAATTTTAAGGCAGACCGATATTGTTTTTTTAAAGAAGAAGAAATTATTTTGTAAATTTATATTTTTTAACACTCGCAAAAACTTGTTCCTTGGTAAACCTCGAAAAACTGGCAAAAAAACTCACCCAAAGCACTTTTTAAACGTGATTTTCAAATTTGAACAATGGATTGGGTCTCCAAGAAAAATCTCCAAGAAACATTGGTTAACCTAATTTCGATCATAATTCCTGCCAACTGGACAAACTGAAGTAAACTAATTCCTCAATTCATTTCAATTCAACTAAAATAACTACGTTTTAATTTAGCCTGCTTGAGATAATTGCAGTAGTTGTTCCAGTTTTGTTATTTTCCTCTTTAGTTGTTCAAGGTTTGTTAATTTTTATCCGCAAGAAGTCTCAAAGTAGCAGAAGTGCTTTATGTGAATTCTTTCTGAGTTGTGCCGTTGTTGATTTAATTCCTATGTACAGTTTTGACGGGCCTGTTTAAATTTAATTCCAAAACACTGCAAACAGCAAACAGCAAAAAAAATACAGCAACTTAGAATAAGGTTAATTTAGAAAGCTCCAAAAACAAACAGTCATAACAACAAACAGTAAACAGATCACGAAGTTTATTCAAAGTCAATAAACGACCCTGGGTGCACTTGGTCATGTTATGTCGAAAAACTATCTGTAGTTATTCTCGACGGCATATCTACCTCGACTTGCATTTATAAAGCATCAGATTGTTCTTGTGTTGAAATCTCTGTGCACGTTGAACTTTGGAGTTTTGATCAGAGCACACTGCTAACAATCGTTTTTTGCTGGCAACGAATCCCATTTTCCCCAAGCACGGAATCTCAAAATTTATAGCATCCAAAAATATTTTGCAGCACACTGTGTGGATGATAAATCAATGGACTTTCTGGTTACTGGTGTAGCTGGAGCCAAAATGAAAATTTGTCCTGTATTTTTTTCATCAAGCCAACGCATCTTTTTAATGCCAAAAAGGAAGCAAACAATTGGCTAATTAAGTTAGTGATATTACTGAAAACCAAGCAGAAGGGAATAATTCAATTTTTTTTCGGAAAAACTTGATATTGAAACAAACAGCTAAAAACTAAAAACTCTGCTATGGCAAGCTCCGCCAAATTAGCAGACATTCTCAGGGTGACATTCGCATATTCGCTAGAACCAACTCAGTTCAGCAAACTCTTGTTATTTTGTCCATTTGAATTTCAAATAATTGACACGGATTTTTTCTTCAGTCAACCCTAGCTATAATCACAAGTTTCAGAAATGTTAAAATTGGTTAAATTAGCTACAAATCTCTATACAAAAAGTTAAAAAAGTTAAAGAGATCCGATTTGTTTCTATTTGGAAAACTGTACGAACCTAGCGAGCGCCATTTTGGTTTTAAGCATTGAAACCTGAGAAGTTTTGTGTCAACTTTGAGCAGTTGATCATTGTTGTAATCGCTCCTCTATCGGAAATTGATAAATCGCTCACTGTGAAATTTGCAATTTTCAATGTTTTTCTGTTCCAAATTTCAAAGAGAGAGACGAAATATTTGTGCACGAGGTGTTTTTATTCTCTAGACAATTTTTATCTTATTAATTGGCAGTTTTCGACCAAAATTAATCTTATCTTTTGAAATGCACTGTTGTCTTGAGTTTAATTTTAAAAAAATATGTCACCTGTGATCATTTTTTGTAAAGTTACTGAGGTTTCAATAATGCCAATTAGCGCGCGATATATTTTGTGCTAATAACGCGTAAGCGGAGACTTAATCCGTTTTGTAATCTTTCCAATTTGGATTGAGGCATGCATGCTATTTGGTCTATTTGAAATTTTCCTATAAGCAAAATCTTTTACTTTGTAGTTTATATAGCGTTTGGGGGATGATTTTCAAAAAAAGCATTCAAAGCATACACCAAAAAAATTAAAACGCAGTCGAAACATTCAAGGCTTTTCCCTAATACGAGAAATCTTGTTTTTATCAGTCCAATACCAAATTGTATCAGTCTTGAAAAAGTAAAACAAAATAATTAGGATTAGTTTTTTCTGAAAGCATTTTGGTAGAACGAACTGTCTGGATGTTTTCGCTTCTCAGAAAAATTCTTAGCACAGTTAAAATGAATGAAAGTGTATAAAACATAAGGCAAAGAAAGCGCAATGGGTTGTTTAGACTATTATTTTACTTAGAAAAAAAGCTTTAGAAATCTACAGTAAAAATCTAAACGCTTTAACAACAGCACATTTTGCAAATCAATAGGTAATGATTTAGTCCTAGACAATTATGTTAATACAGCCATCTCGAATGTCCGAGTACTCAAGAGAGTACCAAAAGACTCGCGTGTTCCCTTGGCGGAAAGTCTGTCGGACAAAATAAATGACATTGTCTACAATGTAGAAGATGTTACAAAATGGCTAATTTTTTTAAACGTCGTTCTTGTTTTTTTTGGAGCAACCGAGAAGAAGTGGACGCAAACATACCACAAACATGAGCTCTTTGATAAATAAAAAAATTCGAGCAAATGATGTGTCACTTCCAAAACCCCATTCCCAAGTTTCAAGCCCGCCTTTGAGTGACCTCGAGCAGAGAATAAAGTTAATAAGTAGTGAGCTCGATGAAAGAAATGTAAAGGCAGGAATAAAGCTTGCTGCTATGGATGACAAAATTGCTCCTTTTTCAACTGACAACTATCAAAAATTGTTGTCTAAGCACCCTCAGCGAGCCAAATTTGCAGCTCCAAATCCACGAAAGTTGGATAGTTTTTTCGTAACCGACTTGGACCTATACAAAGCGATAATGTCCTTTCCGAACGGATCAGCAGCAAGTCCTGATAAAGTAATTCCTCAATTTTTTAAAGATCTTGTTAGTAAGTCGAATGGCAGTGCAGGACTTATTTTCCTGAAATCGCTTACTAAGCTGATAAACCTCATTGCAGATGGCAAAATACCCGCACCACTAAGACCTTTCTTTTTTGGCGCAAAGCTTATCGCCCTCATAAAGATAGACGGAGGGTAGAGACCGATTGCCATAGGCAACACGCTGAGACGTATCGCGTCTAAATGCACTGAAAGCAAGGTTCTCTGCCAGCGACAAAATTTTTACGGAAACGTAGAGGTAGGATGCGGTACCAAACGAGGAGCAGAAATAGCTGCGCACTCGTTTCGAAACCTAATTGAACTCGAAGTTAATCCAAAAAGCAATGTTTTTTAAAACTTGATTTTAAGAATGCCTAACTCTCTAAACAGAGAAACAATGCTGAATCATGTTTATTCAAATCGCCCCAAATTGTATAATTACACGCATTGCGCGTATGGTAAACCTAGTTACTATTTTTACGAAAGCTCTGTCATAATGTCAGAAGACGGGACTCAGCATGGTGATCCTGAAGCCCTACCCCTTTTTGCGGAAACAATTCATATACTAGTCAAACAGTTGGAGTCGAAAATTAACATCTGGTATTTAGATGATGGGAATTTAGTCGACGATTATAAGGTAGTACTCCGGGACCTTAAAAACATTCTGAAATCGGAACAAATTTACGGCCTGAGCTTGAACACTGAGAAGTGCGAACGTTGTTTTTTGGGACCGACTACTAGTACACAGTATAATTCAATTTTAATTACAATTTCGAAAAATATGCCCCAAAATAAAAATAAAAACAAAAGAAGAACTCCTTCTTTTCAGGATCTCCAATCGGCGAACTTTGCCAATCAGAGTTTATCTTCTATTCACATTCCGTCTGTTTTAGAACCACGGCACCTCTTCAGGACCAATCAGAATCGACCAGACGGTTTGACGCTCGTTGCATGGGCTGTTGGTAAGCAGCTCTTGTGGGATGTAACGGTATTAGACTCTTTAGCTCCTTGTAGGATTAATGCCGGGTCTGTTTGTAACCTGGTACGGCTGCCGCTGAACCGGAAGAGCGAAAAATTGACAAGTATAAAGATCTTGTAAATGATGGATATCTTTTTCAACTGCTAGCTTTTGAAATTCAGGGCGCGGCCGGCCCCAGCACAGAATTTTTTTTGAGCAAGCTTTGTAAGAACCTAAGCATATGCACTGAGGAACCCAGAGCATGCAGCTTTTTAAAACAGAGAATCTCCCTGGCAATACAGATTGCGAACGCCGCTTGCGTACTCGGAACAATCAATGACAAAACAACTTTCGACGAAATTTTTTATTTGTAGCACTTGTATATTATATTTTCTCGTGTCGAGTTGCGTGTTCTTATTAAAGAAACGTAACTCGTATCGATTTTAATTGAAAAGGACTTAAACACTTGTCATCTTCTTTTATCATTATCACTTCCATATCTAGAAAATTCCAAGGACTTTGACAGGAATACGTGATGAAGGGACTCCTGACTGTAACCTCGGTTACTATGATACTTTTGACCTTCTGATTACCCTTCTGACAAAATGACAGAAAAACGACGATCTGCCATACTGTTTTTTAAAGCAAAAATTGCACGAAACGCCAACAAAATGCATTTGCGACACTCTAAAGAATATCTATGAATCTGTTTCAGGTCAGATTTACAGTTAATGCCAAATTTTTGGCACTATCGATGACCTTGAGCAACTTAAATGGTGAAAAAATTGCTCTTCAAGGATAATTAGTTTTTTGTAAAGTGTTTCTTGAGTGATTGGTTTCTCGCCATCTTTAAGCTTTTTCAACGTATTGTTTTTGCATGTTTAATTTTCAGAAAACTTTCAGAAAACTTAATTAATTTTTTTTTTAAGTTTGAAATTCGCAACCATGTAAATGGGGGCTATAGAGTGCTTTCAGGGGTTGCAAATTCTGCCTCCAAGTATGACTGCTCAAATTTTTGAATTCTTTCCAGATATGACGTTTTTTGTGTTTTTTTTTCAGATTTTCAGAAAAACTTAATTTTCTTCAAAATTTGAAATTCCCAACCCTGTAGTTGGATGCTGTCAGAGTACTATCAAGGATTGCAAATCTTGCTTTCAAATCTAT